TTGGTAAGTGAGAGAGAAGCCATATTGTTTGAAAAGGTTAGCTTTTTACTTCTTTGCAGATTTATGCCCTGTGGCTTCTATGCCCAGCATTTGTCTTGAGGTATCTTTACCACTTGGAGGAATTATGATACTCGGTAAATTTGATATGAGGCACAATGTCATGGTTTTTTTATCTTAAAAGTAAGGATAGTTGCTAATATTCAATAAGGCTGTTAGCAGTTCCTTAAATATAGTCTACACTCAATAAGTTATATCTATTGTAACCTGTTATTGTTGATGTTTTTCTTTGTTACTTGCAAAGATTGGGAAAAATGTATTTGATTGGGTAACCTTATAGCCCAGGTGCATTAAAGTCTTGTGAAAAAAATATGTATAAGTCACAATTATACTGGTGGTAAGCAATGGTCAAAATTGTTACCTTCACGATCCGTCCCAGAAAAACGTCCTTCCCCCAGTTATAGCTTCCTATATGAACTGGAGTTCTATGGCTGCCTGTGAGGGCACGTCTCATCAGTTCACGTACTGCTGGAATTGAGCCCTCTCAGTTTTGCTGGTAATAATGAGACACACCATCTTTTAATTTTTTGTTCCAGGTGTTTGCTGTTCTCAAAACTTTGGTATAGCCTTTTTTACATTCTGGTTTACTAAAGAGGTTCTGGTTATAACTATACCTTCTCATTTTATTCCACTTAGATTTCATATTGAATGTACAAATTCAGTCATTACTGAAACTAGCTTTAACATACCTGTTAAACAACATTTCTTTACACTCTCTTGAGATCAAACAAGTATTTCTTCAGGCATTTTAAATATTGATTTCATTTTACCATTGTAATGAGAAGAACAAAACCTGAGTAGTCATAATCGCTAGGAAAAACTGCATGAGTTATTTTACCTCTCTGAGACGGATTTTTCCAATATAGTGCTTGAAATACGGGTGGCATTACCCTTGCAAATTTGCAATACATAAATCTTAAAATATGTGAAGCAACTCTTCCTTATAATTTGATTTTGATAACAACATGAACATTATGAGTTTATTAACATATAATAGTGCTGCAGTATTCTTCATGCTACCCTTAAATGTATAAGATTTCAGGGTACCTTTAATGTATCCAAATTAGTTGAAATCACACTGAGATTCATTATATGACTATTTTTATCTATTTTAAATTCTTTTCTGTTAGTTTTTGAAAATGTGTATGTTCAATAGTTATTATACATCAGTAAGTCATGGGCTTACTCTTTGTGACTTTGACGGAGAATATGTGCTTGAAAAATAATAACTAGTATGTCTTGAAGATAATTTGAAGATATATAGCAGAAATATCTTTGAGTAAATTTTAAACCTTTTATTTCATATACAATTATCATCAAAGTCCTTTGTTGTTTCTTAGAATAAACATGATTTAAAATAATATACTGGCGAAAGTAACATGCTTGATTTAGATTGACAGCATCTGTGTATGTTTATAATGCCTTGGCTATTGGCAAAGCATTACAATTAGAAATGATTACATGGAATAATAGTAATGGTGGCCAGAATTAATAGACCAGCTTGGGGAATTACTGAACTCCCAGAGTATGTACAATTATTTCATAAAAAATAACTAAAATAAGAGCTAACTAATGATTCTAAAGCAAATTCTAACTCTATTTTTTAAAGATAGAATCATGGCACATATGTACAACATGTTTCTAAGACCCCTTCTTATTCCCACTCCAGCAGTGCTCTCCATGCCTGCGGCTCCACCCTGCCCAAGAGAAATTTATCCCAGACAGAGCCAGTTGAAGAATTTCAGACATCTTAATATTAATCATGGAAAAGAGTTGAAGTGATAATCTCTCATAATGTCATTCTACTTATATGCAAGTGTTAAAACTATAAAATTTGGTTTAACTGAAAAAGTATCTTCAAATATGAACATCAGAATGCAGCTTAGCCAGGATTTTGTAATCTAAATCAATTTTATTGAATTTAGTATGTATTATCTCATGGATCACATGGGTATTTAAGCTTGAAACAGTTTCTATTTCTCTGGGTCCTACTTTCAGTTCTTTTCTAGTCATCATTGTGGTTTGCATGAGTGTAGAAAGTGTTAAAAAAGGAAATATTGACAAATTTATTGACAAGTATTTCAAAGAGTCTGTTAAACGTAAAGCTCTTTGAAAGCACTTGAAGTACAGGAATAAGATCTAATATCAGCCCTAAAGAAACTTTCAACCTCGTAACTTAAAGGTTAAATGAGCTTTACTGATGATTTATTTTACCATGTGAGTTTAAAATACACATTAAAAGATTCAGTATAATTGGATTTCTTCTCCAATAACTTTGTAATCTTGTAAATCAATTATAATCTAATAAAGTATTCCTAATGTTTATTTAGTGGACAACAATTTGGGTATACATTATATCTCTAACTTAAAAATGAGTGTTTTAGTTTGTAAGCACTGAATTAAAGGAATTTAAACCATTTTATTCATTGCAGAACTAATCTGGACTTTTAAATATAATAATTTCAAATTTCAAGGAGAGATGTAGGGTGGTTCATTATATACCAGTATTTTCTAAATTTATTATAACAGAATTATTTTGATTAGCATCTGTAGAATCAATACTGAATAGCAGCTACTTCAGGAAAGACTGGCTTGATATAGCATCTAATTATTTAAAAGCCCCCAAAATGTTATATATTTGTAAAAATTGAATGTCCCTTCTAGTCTATAAATATTTGTGAACCTATTCACACAAAATATGTTAGAGAAATGGTAAAAATAAGTCACTATGTTAGTTGAACTTATTAACATTAACACAAGGTACAAATAGAAATTGCAGTGAGATTTTACAACGAAGATTACACGTTACATCATAATCTGATTAGCTTTGTGATCTATAATGTCACTGAAGGGGGTATGAAAAGAATATAGGAAGCAAGCCAGCTCTTAATCCTTCATCTTAAAATTATTCACATTTCATTGGCCAGACAGTTACACACCACAAGCATTTTGGGACATGTAGAAACTATGCCTACTTCATGAGCCTCCCTTACATTCATTTTTATAGAAAGACATGCTGAGGATCTCAGGACCAGATTACTGCCTCATTATAATGCTGAAGAAATATTTAAAATAATAACGGAGAGTTTTCAGAGAGCAAGGCTTCTAAACGCGTGAGACAAAAGGTCATACATAGCATTGCAGGAAGAGAGAGACCACGCCTTCTAATGGCTCCTACATCATGCCAATGAGACAATGATCAAGCTGTCAATATTTTTATTGGCCATTTCCCTACTTTGTCTGTTAACAACTAACATGAGCCTAACCTTTTCAGCATTTTCAAATATCTCATAAAAAAGTTTTTCAAATAAAAAATGATCTGACAAAATAGCTATTTGCACATATAGGTGTATATACATGAAAATATAAATGGATGGATACATGTATACACATATAAAAATATCTTCATTTATATAATTATGTATATGATTCCAACTAATATTAATTATATATCAAGCAAATACTCTTTTAGGTTAAACCTTTGCTATGCTAATTATTAAATATGAATTTAATTATGTATATTTGCAATCAGTTTTCCTTGCAAATCGTTGTAAGTTCAGGAAATTGTAAACTGACTCAAAAGGGCTGGTTTTAGATAACATCACTCTGACCTGTATATATAGTGGTCAGATAGTACCCGCTTCCTGGATTAATAGTGCCTCATAAAGTGCTTGACACACTCTCTTCCAAAAGGCTTTCTAGCAGGAATGAAAGAATATATCTTATTTTAGTGGAAAACTTAATATAAAGATCTTGTTGAGGTGCAATGGTATGATGTTGTTCTGTATGTAAAAAAGGTTTTTACTCTAAAGACAAAGATACAAAAAATGGGAAAATTCATGAACCAAAAATCTATCCCTGCTGAGTTACTCAAGGTGAGAAAATGTGATATAGATCATCTATTCTTGCCTATATTTTTCTTTATCTAAAAATAGATTTCTTCTATCTT